AGGGAGGGAAAATAGGACAACTGTAATAGCATAATCAATAAAATACATTAAAAAACACGAAAACAGACATATAGAACAATGGAACAGAATAGAGATCCCAGAAATGAACCCATGTCTCTATGGTCAATTACTATTTGACAAAGCAGGCAGAAGCATAAAATGGAGTAAAAATAGCCTCTTCAACAAATGGTGTTGGGAGATTTGAACAGCTATGTGCAGAAAAATGAAACTTGATCACCAACTTACAACATACACAAAAATAACCTCAAGGTGCATAAAAGACTTAAACATAAATTGTGAAACCATAAAAGTCCTAGAGGAGAACACAGGGAGGAAAATCTCAGATATTCCATGCAGCATATTTTCACTGATGTGCCCCCTAGAGCAAAGGATATAAAGGAAAGAATAAACAAATGGGACTTCATCAAAATAAAAAACTTCTGCATGGCTGAAGAAAACATCAGCAAAATGAAAAGGGAATTCACCATATGGGAAAATATATTTGCAAATGATACCTCGGACAAGGGTTTGATCTTCAAAATATATAAAAATCTCACAAGACTCCACTCCAGGAAGACAACCCAATTAAAAAATGGGCAAAGGACCTGAACAGACACTTCTCCAAGGAGGACATACAGAAGGCCCAGAGACATATGAAAGGGTGTTCAGCATCACTAGCCATCAGAGAGATGCAAATTAAAACCACAATGAGATACCACTTCACACCAGTCAGAATGGCCATCATAAACAAAGCAACAAACAAGTGTTGGAGAGGTTGTGGAGAAAAGGGAACCCTAGTGCACTGTTGGTAGGAATTCAGACTAGTACAGCCACTGTGGAAAACAATATGAAATTTTCTCAGAAAACTAAAAATGCAACTGCCTTTTGACCAGCAATTCCACTGTTGAGACTATACCCTAAGAATCCTGAAACACCCATTCAAAAGAATATGCACTCCAATGTTCATAGCAGCACAATTTACCATAGTCAAGGGCTGGAAGCAACCTAAGTGCCCATCAGTACACGAGTGGATCAAAAAACTATGGTACATTTACACAATGGAATACTACGCAGCAGAAAGAAAGAAGGAGCTCCTACCTTTCACGACAGCATCGGTGGATCAGGAGAGCATTATGCTAAATGTAATAAGCCAGATGGTGAAAGACAAATACCATATGATCTCACCTATAAGCGGTACCTAATCAACAAAACGAAGAAGCAAGCAAAATATAACCAGAGTCATTGAAATTAGGAACAAACTGATAGTAACCAGAGGGAGGTGGAGGGGGATAATGGGGGGAAAAGGGGGAAGGGTTGTCAGGAATGTGTATAAAGGACACAGGGACAAAGCCAAAGGGGGTAGGATCGAGGGTGGGGGGTGGAGATGGCTGGCGTTGGGGGAAAATGGAGTCAACTCTTCTTGAACAACAATAAAAAAGAAAGAAAAGGAATGGATGGCAAGACTGCTCACAAACGAGGGTTTTATAAAGAATTCATGGTAGAGAAGAAAGAGGTAAAATTTAAATAGAGGAAATGACTAAGCAGTTTAGAGCAGAAGATTATGAGAACAAAAGGCAGAACAAGAATTAGACACTTATTTTTCCTCCCATCATATAGGGGAGTATCTAGGAACTGCAGGCAGTTTTAAAGAAACATTACTTTTAAAAAAAGGGAGGGAAGAACAAAATAAAGAAACGGAAGGATTCGAGAGAAATAAGGTCAAGGAGGAAAGTTAAAACAAGACATTAAATGTCTGTATGTGTGTATTTAGAAATTAACAGTTGATAAATATTTACTGGGTTCAGAACATCATACTAAGTCATGTGTGAATTAGAGTCATTGGTTGTGAGGGCTCCATTACATTTTGTGATCCTGGGTTCCTTTGACTCTCAGATTCACTGTGCAGCCCTAAACCATTTAAGTTTCATTGATGTTCAGTGAGGATCCACTGGTGGTGAACAATACCCTTCAAAGTAAGAAGTGATGCAGCCAAAATCTTGAAATCCGGTACTTCTCTCTTGGCTTATCTCCATCCCAAATTGACTTATGATTTATTTTCATGCTTAGCATAATGTTGTAATGCTGGACTACACCAATGTTCTAGGACAGTTACTATTCTTCATTTGCTTAGGAATCAAATAGGGCAAGAGAATCCAGCTTTCCGGATCTAAACATTTTCAAAGCAAAAACAAACACAAACAAACAAACAAACAAACAAACAAACAGAAACAAATGCATGCTCTTTAGAAGAAATCACATGCTTCCCCTTTGTGTGTGTGGGCTGATCCGGGAGTGAGAAGACAGATCATTTTGATTACCCTAGGCTGCAGGTATAGATGGCTACCAATACACAAGTGTTTATGCTTGTTCTCTACTTTTCTAAGAAAATTTTCTTCTTAATTTTACTAATGGGCCACAGTACATTTTAGACAGTTCTTCATGATATTTTCATTATCATTTCCCAAGACAACAATGAATAAAACAATGTTATAATATGGTCATCATTTTGTTCCTCAAAACTTCCTCAGAAGTTCTGATCCTCAGAATCAACAACTATGAACCTAATGTAAGCACTCCATCTCAGACAGCTCCTTAGTTTCCTGAACTGCATTTATGCAGTTCGCTTTCCGTTATTCAATGCACAGAAGGCAGTCTAAGACTAATCTATCATAATAATTTTCTGAAGAACACTGATGCATGGTGCATATATTTAGATGGAGAGTACTGTGATTTAAAAAAATTTTTTTATACTTTGATTTGAGAGAGAGAGAGGAAGGGGAGAGAGGAGGGAGGGGAGGGGAGAGAGAAAGAGAGAGAGACAGAGACAGAGAAAGAGAGAGAGATGTATAGTTCCACTTAATTATACATTCATTGCTATATTCTTGTATGTGCCCTGAGTGGGGATGGAACCCACAACCTTGGCTTTTTAGGACGATGCCCTAACCAACTGAGTTATCTGGCCAAGGCCAAAGAGATGTTTGTGTTTTAAAAGGACTTTATTTCTTTTTAGAGAGAGAGGAAGGGAGAGAGAAAGAGGGGGAGAGAAACATCAATGTGTGGTTGCCTCAAGTGTGTCCCCTGCGGGGGATCTGGTCCACAATCCAGGCATGGGAATCAAACCTGCAACCCTAGGTTCACAGACCATCACTCAATCCACTGAGCCACACCAGCCAGGGCCAAAGAAATGTTTTTGAGATTGTTCTTATTATCTACTATAAGCCTTGAAGTTAATTCATAATGGAGGTTTAATAAAGGGTTCTTGGGTTTTTGGCACTCAACTTAATGCAAATTCATGTTTACATGTGCTCTAATTTCAGGTAATTAAAAGAAAAATGCTACTTTCTCATGAGCAGGACAATGGATTAGCATGGATCTACCTACAGACTAACCAAATAGCTGTGTGCTGACCTAGTACCATAATTGCTCCCTCTCTGAGTCATAGCTGACCACAGCTCTGATTTCAATGACATTTAGAAGGATTAACAACCACAAATAGATGACAGTATTATAGGAAAATAAATCTGCATTAGACAGAGCAACATTTATAGGGCTTGAAGGTAACCGTTGTCATAAAACAGTTATGTGAAAGTGTACAGAGACCAGGGCTCCAGCTGTAGTTCCACCACTGACAGTTTGACAACTGTGTCTTAATTTTTCCTATCTAGAAAATGGGAGAGAAGAATAGTTGCCTTGGTATTTGCCTCTCAGAAATATATGTAATTTGGTGAAATAATACATGAGAAGTGTACTCAATTAGGGGAAGCTGAAACATTCTGCTTTGATTCAATAATTTAAAGTCAATTTTAGAAAGCTTTTAAACAACATATTTTCAAAAGAATCCACTCAGTATAGATTGCCCAACATTTAACACAGTTGTAAAATACAGTACAACTATGGTCCACCGGAAACAAGAGACAGAAACACTATGAAAAACAGCAGGAAGATCTGGAGCCTTATTTCAAGCCTTATTTCCAACATTTGTGTCACAAATTCCACAATATTTGGCATACATTTTTTTTTCATCACTTTTAGAGAGAGAGAGAGGAAGGAGAGAAACACTGATGCAAGAGAGAGGAATCAGTTGGTTACCTCCCGAATGCGCCTGGACTGAGGACCATATGCATGTGAACTGGGGATTGAACTGTAGGGTAGGTATGTGATGTGCCCTGACAGGGAATCGAACCTACAACCTTTCAGTTACAGGATGACATCAACCAATTGAGCTACACTGGTGAGGGCTGGCATATAGTTTTGATTCAACTTTTACATTATATTTCAAAGTAGATTTTACCAGTTCCCATGTTGGCAAATCAATCAAGAGTTAGATTATTACAGTGCAAACCTGCATTAAAAAAAGCACCTTAGAAATGCAAAAATAAATGACTCAGATAAGAAAACTGTCTATCTTTCTTTTATTTGATGCTCACATATGTCTTTCCTCTTTTTCCTTTAGTGTAAACACTTACGAGTAAGCAAGGATTTGTACAAATTGAACCACAGGATATTGCCTAATGGCTATTTCACATGTTTCAACCTAATGTAAAGATTGAGAGGAAATGGTGAGCAGATCTCAGGCTTATTAGATTGAAGGATTCAGATAGGGGACAGCTGTTATCCAGTTCCTAAAAGTCTAGATCATCTCAAGGCTCCAGTATTGAAATATCTCAAAGATGTGATGGTGTTTGCCAAAACGGAGCTGAGGACTGTTAGAATGGATAACAGACTATCTTGTCTCTCTGCTTCTTTAACGTATTTTGTTTTAGGTAAACCCTTGTAAACAAGGTAAACTGAGTTAACTACAGGGGTAATCAAGAACTTCAGGTCCATGTGAATGGAGTTTACTACATGACCCTTGGTGAATCTGTGCTCTACCTTCCAAGACTGCCGTGACAACCTCACTGAGGCCAGATGACCTGAGCATCCAGAGAAACGCTGAGTTAAGCAATTTTTTTTCCCTTACAGTGAAATTCCAATAAACTACCTGAACCCAATAATCTTACCTGCTGGTTTGATCTGACATCACTGAAATTCATTTTTTTCCCCAAGTCTAGAATTACTGCATTCTTAGTTTCACGAATGGAATCATCATTCACTGGCTGGGGAGACTTTGTATTTTTCTTCATGAGTCCCTGGGATGGCCTGTAAAATAAAGTCATACCTGACACACCCATGAAAGGCACTGGTCAGTGTGGAAAGGCCTAGAAATCAGAGCAGTTGAAATGGCAACCAGACACCAGGTGTCATGAAACATTTATGGATGGCATTTTGTGTGCAAAGCTGAGCACTGCCTGGAAAATCTGTGTTCGTAGAGGTGTTTTCAATATTTTAATTGCTAAAAATTATTTAAAGTAATCATGTCCTTTGTCCTAAGGTATTCGATATCCACTTTGTATCTAAGAGATAGAATTATTCAGGAACCCACTAAATGAGAGTCCTGTCCCAGACCAAGCTATCTTATGTATGTGCCCCTTGTCAACCAACATGTTTTACACCAAGAAACTGCAAAGACACTTACGTGGATGGTGCACTTCTAGGCAGCCCCATGGAATTGGTGGGTGGGATGGCAGGGAGAGAAGGCAGGACAGAGCTGAGGAAAGCCACTGGATTCTGAATGCGGCTGGTAGGAGAGACAGGAGCTGGGGACACGCAGCGGGGCTGAAACTGGTTTCCGCTGGAGATGGAAAATGTGAGTGGTAGTGGTGCTGGTTCTAATGGACCTGGAGGGGGTGGCTCGTTTTGAACAGAAACTGCTCCTAGAGATTTGGTTTGCATGAAGGGGTGAGAAGCTAAGAGGTTTTCTTTGCTCACTGTCCTCTGAATGGTTTGAGGAGTGCTGCTCAGGGTAAACACTGGAGAGCTGGAAGGGGACATGGCTGCTGCGGTGGTGCTCGTGGAGGGGAAGAAATGCTTTGGCCGGGCCAGGCTGAACGTCTGTGAAGAGGGGGACTTCGTGTGCTTGCTGGACGTTGTCACTGCCAGGGGAGCAGTAGAGTTCAAGACACTCATGTTGAAAGGAAACTCCTTAGGAGATGAAGGAGATGAGTTTTGCAACTGCTGTTGTTCCAGTAAGACTTGGTTGTGAAGCTGTTGGAGCTGATTGGAGTCACTGTACAATAAAACAAGAGTGGGGAGAGAGCAGGGAAATCATCACCATGGACTGATTAAGAAAACACAGTCAGAGTTGCCAGAAATCTGCTAATCAATTTCTTGAGAGTTGTTTCTCCTTTCTAAATCTGTGTTATTGTCTGTAAGAAGGAAAAGGCCAGTGCGATACATAGTAACTCTAGGAGGCATCGTTCACATTTTATTCTTCTGTTGTGACCTTGGAGTTGTGCAATATAACAGCCCAATTTTAACATTTATATTAACAAATTTTAAAAAAGAAATAGAAACAATGGTCCTTTTGTTGGGAGTGCTCATGGTTGAGATGAACAGACAGTATATCAGCTTTGGGACAGAATGTACTGGGCCACAAGCTGATAAGAGTTACTGAAGGGAGCTGAATTCTCCAAGACAATGTGCTATATTCTTCATTCTGTCTCATTTTAGAGCAAACCTTTACAAAGCAGCTACATGTATCCTAGTGTTTCTCATCCTCCTCTGATGACAGAGCTTTACAGAAAAGGTAACCATGTATCCCAAACCATCCTAGACTGTCTTGGTTTACTCCTGTTTTCCTAGAGTAATTATTAAGTCTTTTTCAGTCTAGAAAATGTCATTGTTTAAATGATCAATATATGGTCCCCCTAATTATAAACATTGCCTTAGACTTTCTTTTTTTATTTTTTCTTCCTAAATGGAGAAAGTAGGAGAATGGAGAATGGAGAAACGGAGAAACTGGGAGCAGTTTCTTCATTTAGTATAGGAACCCGAGTCATGGAAGCATCACATGTTTTGCCTTAAGTCACATGGTCTAATTTCTTTGAGTAAACCAGTTATTTTTAATGAATAAAAATGTTCCCAGGTTCGATTCCCAGCCAGGGTACATTCCTGGGTTGCAGGCCATAACCCCCAGCAACCGCACATTGATGTCTCTCTCTGTCTCTCTCTGTCTCTCTCTGTCTCTCTCTCTCTCTCTCTCTCTCTCCCTGCCTTCCCTCCGTAAAAATAAATAACTACAATCTTTTAAAAAAATGTGTAAGGGTCATATATGCAGGAAATTGTCTGTCAAACTTTGCTGTTTAGGACAAGCTGTTCTTAAATGAGTAACCACAGGAAGATCTTCAAGTGAGACTGCAGTGCTCTAAGGCCACTGCAGTTTTATGCTCTTCGGAAAAATCAATTGCTTCGGAAACATAGACAGTGATCTGTTGAACATGAGATCTATTAAAACTGAAAGGTTTTATATTTACTTACCATCAAGAAAGTCAACACCAATAGCAATGATTTTGAACCAGAAGGTTCTCCAAACCTTGATTTTTCTTAACTTTTGGAGTTTAACTTTTTCCTTTCCTTCATTAACATTTCTGATATACAATATATGGAAAAGCAACTCACAAAATAGAGACCCATCTCCACTTTCATTACTGCTGTCAAATGCTATATACTCTGCAATCCTTTGTTCAGCTATGAAAACTTCTGTCTTGAGTTAAACTAGGAATTTCACTTGCCACAGTAACTTCTTTCTCCTCCTCCTTTTCATTTTATTGTATATGAAAAATTGAGCAATTAACAGCAGAAGAAATATTTTTGTCATATTATCCTTAGAAAAAGTATATACAATTAACATTGTTTCTGCTAGTATTGACTTGCCCAATGGTGTGAAAATATACAACCTTTACATTTTTAATGGGACTTCTGGCCAAAATGGAGGCATAGGTAGATACACTTCATTTCCTCACACAACCAAAAGAAGGATAATAACCAACTTAAAAACAAAAAAAAATCAGAATTGCCAGAAAATCAAACTGTATAGAAACCTGACAACCAAGGAGTTAAAAGAGAAACATTCATCCAGACTGGTAGGAAGAGTAGAGTTGGGCAGCTGCAGTGGAGAGGACACTCAGAAAGGAGGTGGCTGGCAGTCCAGGTGGTCCCACATTCGTGTGTGGATAAACCAGGAGGAACAACTAGGGAGTGAGACAGACCATGCAACCCAGGGCCCTGTATGGGAAAATAGAGCCTCGGCAGATACTCCCAATTTCATAGGAGAGTCTGTTGGAGAGACCCACAGGGTCCTAGAATGTACACAAACCCACCCACCCAGGAATCAGCACCAGAAGGGAGCAGTTCACTTATGGGCAGTGGGGGAAGTGACTGAAATCAGGGTGAGGGCTGAGCAGGCAGCATTGTCCCCTCCTCCATGGACAGTTCCACAAGGCAGCAAGGAGGGTTGCCCCACCCTGGTGAATACCTAAGGCTCCACCCTTACAACTTAGCAGGTGCACAGATACAAAGAAATATGGCCCAAACTAAAGAACAGATCAAAACTCCAGAAAGAGAGCTAGGTGATGAGGAGATGGCCAACCTATCTAATGGAGAGTTCAAAGCCCTGGTAATCAAAATGCTCACAGAAATTATTGAGCTTTGTTGCAAAATGAAAGAACAAATGAAGGATACCCACAATGAAATAAAGCAAAATATTCAGGGAACCAACAGTGACAGGAAGGAAACCAGGACTCACGTCAATAATTTGGAACAAAAGGAAGAAATAAACATCCAACTGGAACAGAATGAAGAAACAAGAATTCAAAAAAATGAAGAGAGGCTTAGGAAACTCTGGAACAACTTTAAATGTTCCTATATGCAAATGATAGGGGTGCCAGAAGGAGAAGAACAAAGCAAGAAATGGAAAACTTATTTGAACAAATAATGAAGGGAAGCTTCCCTAATCTGTCTAAGGAAATAGACTTCCAGGAACCCCAGGAAGTCCAGAGAGTCCCAAAAAAGTTGGACCCAAACAGGAATACACCAAGGCACATCATCATTAAGTTACCCAAGATTAAAGATAAAGAGAGAATCTTAAAAGCAGTAAGAAGAAAGGAGAGAGTTACCTACAAAGGAGTTCCCATTAGGCTATGAGCTGATTTCTCAAAAGAAATCTTACAGGCAAGAAGGGGCTGGAAAGAAGTATTCAAAGTCATAAAAGGCAAGGACCTACATCCAAGTTTACTCTTTCCAGCAAAGCTATGATTTAGAATGGAAGGGCAGATAAAGTGTTTCTCAGATAAGGTAAAATTAAAGGAGTTCATCATCACCAAGCCCTTATTATATGAAATGTTAAAGGGACTTATCTAAGAAATTGAAGAAGATCAAAACTATGAACAGTAAAATGACAACAGACTCACAACTATCAACAAATGAACCTTAAAAAAAAGAAAAATGATGAAAACAAAAACTAAGCAAACAACTAGAACAGGAACAGAATCAGATAAGTGGAGATCACATGGAGGATTTTCAATGGTGAGGGGGAAGGGAGGAATAGGGGGGAAACAGTGCAGGGAATAAGAAGCATAACTGGTAGGCATAAAATAGATGGGGAGAGGTTAAAAATAGCATAGGAAAGAGAGAATTCAAAGAACTTACATGTATAACCCATGGACATGAACTAAGGAGGGGAATGCTGGAGGGTTGGGGGGTGCAGGGCTGAAGGGAGATAAAGGGGAAGAAACTGGGAAAACTGCAATAGCATAATCAATAAAATACACTTAAAAAAGAAGCATAATTGGTAGGTACAAAATAGACAGGGGGAGGTTAAGAATAGTATAGGAAATGTAGAAGCCAGAGAACTTATATGTATGACCCATGGACATGAACTAAGGGGGATGGAATGCGGAGGGAGGGAGTATGCAGAGTGGAGGGGGACAAAGGGGAGGAAAAAATGGGACAACTGTAATACCATGGTCAATAAAATATACTTAAAATTTTAATGGACCACGTATTCACAAGATCAAATTCTGTGAGTTCTATAGAATAAAGACGATGCTATGTAGTTTTCAGGACATGTTTGTATTGTTGTCTGAGTAAATTTTAGTCTGGTGACATTGCATAAATACTTTATTATGGTTATGGAAGTAGCAAAAGTAGTATATGAAAAGAAAGTACTCTTAGAAAGATAAGGATGATAAAAAGGGGTCAGGAAGTCATTTGGTATTACTTGATTCTTATTTTCCTTTAGTTTTAAATGAAAACTAAGAATTCATTTAGAATAATGTCTCTTTTTGTTTGAACAGGTTTTAAATTTTTTTTATTAAATTCCATTTTTTCAGAAGGGGTTTAAAACACCTGTTTGGATTCACTTGTTCATTACATCAAGCCGAGGTGTCAATTCCATTTTTCAACAAACTTTTATTAAATCTTCTATTTGTCTAGTTTGCTAGGTACTATAGGAGATAGAAATATGCCTGAGATAGTATGAGCTATTCAGGGCTCAAAAAATCTTTTATATATATATATATGCACATAACACAAATAACCAGCAGCTATTTACAGATAACATATGGAATTTACTTATATATGTTTAATAATGAAGGAACAATGTTAATGAAAAATAAAGGAACAGATTAATTATAAAGCATACTAGTTCTAAAATCCTGAATAACCTGTCTAATTCAAAGTAACAGCCTGTTATAAATTGCTATAAGCTTAGCTGCTCATATCTTGCAGCTATGAAGATTATTTTATTTTATTTTTTGAGTTTTACATTAACTGGTATTTTATTTGCTTAAAATCTAAACATTATCAGTTTGAGAAGAAATCCATTGTGATGTATAGAGCTTGCTATTTAAATTTTAGGTTTTTTTTTTCTTCAAGGTTTTGTTTTTATTTAATTAATTAAAAAATTTCAATTACAGTTTACATTCATTATTATTTTATATTGACTTCAGGGATACAGCCTAGTGGTTAGACAATTGTACACTTTACAAAGTATTCCCCCTGATATTCATTTGATACTTAAATGGCACCATACATGGTTATTACAATATTAATGACTATATCTCCTATGCTATATTATACATCCCCATGACTGTTTTGTAACTGCCAATCTGTACTTCTCAGTCCCTTCATGTTTCACCTAGTGCCCCAACCCCTCGGAGGCCCTCACCCCCAAGCTCAGGGTTCTTAAGCTGTGACACAGACCCACTACCTGCACAGCCTCAGCCTGGG